TTTCTTTTGATATAAATCTGGGATGAAAGGTAAATATTATTTATACTCTAACTCAGTTGGAATTATTTGCTTGTAATCTAATTAGCTGGAAAAAATGTTTTCAGCATTTTGATGTTGTTCAACGTAAGTTTGTGTATGATCGACATTTTTCGATAAAACGCTATAATAATGCAGGGCATTTATTGTGAAAGGAAACTTCACTCTCATCAGTAAAAAAATAAATTTTATAATTTGCCTTATTCATAGTTGAATTTTGGTTGTTTATTGTTTACAACACGCATATAACTTTGACCCTGTAGTATTCATCATTTGACCAAATTGTTTTTCAGTTGAATTTTTAAAAGATATGTTATTACAGTATGTGTTCTTTTGATGTAGTTGGTAAAGATATTAGTGTCAAATACCAAGGTATAACCATGACAATAGATATCTTAATTTAGTGAAGTTTTTTTGATAATTCTTTTCCCAAACTAAAAGAACAAAATAACAATGTCTCCAAAACATGAAAACCGCTTTTGTATTAACTTAAACAGGCTCTGTTTATTTGTAATATATTTTAGGCATGATACGATTGTTGTATGTATCTTCAAAGTAAACAATTTTAAATGGAGAAACATGCAATAAGATCGTTAATTCTCACCGGCTTGAGAATTCGATAAGATTATTGTATGTACCTTTAAAAAAAACACTCCTTCAAAGTAAACAATTTTAAATGGGGAGGCATGCGATCGTAAATTTTCACTGGTTTTAGAATTAGTTTGTTATACGTGCACCTACGTTAGATCTTTTTAATAAACTAACACGGCTAAAACTAGAATTTAGGATGAAATACCACACATCAAAAAACCTATTCCTCATAATTATTATTTTAAAGATTCTTTTTCCTTATTTCAGTATTGATGTTTGTAAATAATTACCTATGAATATCAAACAATGTTTGACATTACAATCTTTTAAAAACTGCTGTTAAATCATTTTCTAATTTTACAATTTGATAAATGATGAAAGATAACCACTTTATATTGTATCTGTTGGAAATGTATATATTATCATTTTATTAAATTATTGTGAGTTATGATTAATGTGAGTGTCAGTCGGAAGACTTAAAATATCTTTAAAGATTTTTTTTTGATTGTAGAAAAATATTTAAAATTTTGTATAGATTTATAAATATGTTTCTTTTATAAAATTCAGAATTTCAGATAATATTTTTCACGTAACAATAGTGTGAAGAAGAATATTTATGTTGATGAATTTTTTGAATACTTGTCGTCTGTTGGAGACGACATTTTCAATCACAAACGATGAGTATGAAGGTTCTGAATCAATGTATAAGTGTGATAAAGGAAATAACATTTTGAATAAATTACACCTGCTATTAAAACATTGCAACTGAATAAATCTGCTGGGAATGTTTTCTTTTTATGAATATTTCATTGAATATGTTTATGTATAAGTGTCTCACATTTAATGCTCTTATCAAAATTTACTGACCGTATCGTTTGTAAACTTAAAGAAATAATAAAAAATCTTGCTTTGTTCAGATTTATAATAAGTTTTGTTTGCACAATTATAAATGAAGCACTATAAGTACCTTAAACTTTGCTAACATGGTGTGTATAAATATCAAATATTTTATTTGATTGCATTCATATATGAATGCCTTTGTCTTATTTTGTATTGTACGTAGATTGAATTGTACATATATGTTATTGTGCTAGCCGGATAACTTACTGACATTCAAAGGTTCCGTCGGGATATAAACCCATAGTGATAAGGGTCAAGCGGTTTTATTTCAACAACCTTAACCATTCGGCCAGGATGTCTTCATGTAATAACTCTTTACCTTTACGAACCATGTTGCCAGATTGAGTGAAATCATGCAGCATAATCAATATACCTTAATCACCACAGTGTAATATGATCTTATTCTATTCTTGCTGATGGGCGTCCTGTCAGATCGACACTGAATACGTCATCTAATAACTTTCAATTTTGACAGAACGTTAAAGTGCATTCATTACATTATACCAGATAGGATTAGTACCTGAGAAGAACCATTGACCCTCCGTAAGCTTGATGGTTAGCTTTCTCACAAGAAATAAAATTATAATAAGACAAATAGCTAATATCTAACAGAAATATTTTTCTGGAAGCAATATGTTATTTTTAAGCTGGATGTGATAAGACAAATATGAAAAAACACTTAAGATTAAGAGAAAGACACAGACCATTTTGTATAATAATTGTATTTTTTTTCTTTATTAAATAAAAAATTGTATCTACGATCAAATTAATTGTGTTATTTGTCTGTTTGTGATGGGTTTGAATAAAGACATTTTTGTTTTATTCCACATGTACACAGTTACTAGTATTGTTGATGGGATGTATATATTGGGTTAATCATATTTTTTACTAATATACGAGGTGTGTCCGTAAAGTTCCAGGACGATTGTTAATTTGAAAAACATTTTAAGAAAACAAGCCGCACAATTTCTTTCCATATTTCTACTATCATGCGCAATTTTATCAAATTCTATGATATATGTACAAAATTAAAAAAAAATTTATAGATATAAGTAGATTTATGTTTCTTTTTGAAATAAATCGTTTTAATTTTGGAGCGTTTTATTACCCCATTTTTCCTTTCTTAATTTTAATTCAATTCTCACAGCTAGCTAGTTTAACGGTAATTTTACCGCTTTTGGCACGTTTTTCTCGTGCATTTCATGGGCATCAAATCTTATATCTACCCATTTCTTCACTGACAGCCGTTCGATAAACATTGTTTTGTTATAATACATTTAACTTCACATTGGAGGCATTTAACGCACGTGGTAAATTCCCCCGAATTTTTTATTGGATTGCCTCTCGCTCAGTCATTAATACTTCAGCTGTCAACCTCGCCGCTTCGAGCACATGGCAGCCAGGCCATGCAGGGATAGAGCCCCTCCACGTGGTCAAGCGTAGAGACGGGAAAAACAAGTTGCATTGGAAGACAATGCTAACGTTCAACTGCCAGTGGCGTTCCCGCAAGCCTGACATGGTCCGAGAAGGGATGTTTTGTCGACCGAAACTCAGACTGACAATGAACAAGGGCAAAAGACAGGGAATTTTCTCCCCGAGTATGGTGATTTGCCTTTATTAGCTTTTAATTTACAGGTACAACAGCAAAATGCAAGCCCGCACATTCCACTAAATCTAAGCCAACAGAACACGGTTTCGAAAACCACGCCCACTTTTCCCTACCCCACCAATCCCCAATATAGCCATGTTTAAGTCCGCTTATGACGGCATTAGCGCCCACATACCGGAACATTTAAAAGAAAAAATATGGGCCGGAAAATTTGTTAATTTGTCAATGTTTTTTAAATCATCGGAATCAAACGCATTACAAGGGGCGCACATATTTTTGACCGATGACGATACTCTTAAAACTTGCCCGAACGGTTCTACCGAGCAAATTAAAAATATTGAACAATTGTCCGATGCCTTCATGATTTTCGTGGATATATATCTGATCAAAAATCCAAATGCTGCTTTTTACCTGTTAAGCTATATGCCTACCATAACACATGCAGCTTCACGTAGAAATTACGTTGCATGGAGATTCTATGACGAGCAATTTCTAGGTGGTTCTACTCAGGTGCCCGTTCGTGCCTGAAATAATGCACGGAAGGGCACCTGAGGTCTTCCTCCACCAGTAAAGCTGGAACGTCGCGATATGACCTATACTGTGTCGATGTGACGTAAAACCCAAAACAAAAACAAAGACGAGAAATTTCGCATGTGTCAAGAAAATAACCCCCAACGGTGGTCCAGTTTAAATACAGACCTGTGGCTGAAAGTTATGACTTGCCCAAAATACGCTCGGGGTGGGCGTTGGCTAAAACATGCTGAAATCACAGCAGATACCCCAGGCTTGTTTCGTAACGATGGTGTGCATTTATCTCCAATTGGCCTTGACATCTTCATATCATCTTAACAAGAACTTATCGAATCTTAAGCTAGCAACAATAGCAATAAGGCCGTGTTCGACTAATCCAAAATATTGGGTAAATTTTATGTCCGCATAAATATTATGTGGCCCTCAATACATCAAATGCATCTCGGTGGGGCATATTGTAAGTATCACATTTTCATTTTGTCATTCTATAAATGAACTTCAGTTTTAATTTGGAATTTATTCCTTCTTTAATTTAAGTTTCGTATATTAAAGTCACGGCCTTATTCCTAAAATGCATGTGTTTGTTGTTATTAAAGTTCTTAAGAAATTCGAGCTTTTATTTTGTGAGTGACAACTATATTCATATTGTCACCTACGTCATCTGTAAAAATATGTTGTGGCTGTTCGAAGTAGTTTATTCGAACCATTTTGATTATCACAAAACGATTATCTGCTAAAACTTGTCGTCTGCGAATACTTGTAGCTTATTCGAATCATTTTGATTATAACGAAACTGTCGTCGGCTAACACTTGACGAAGTTTGTTCGAACCAATTTGATCATTACCAAACTGTCGTCTGCTACTAAGCTATGAAGTTGGTTAGTACCAATCTACTTATCATCAACCTGTCAGCTGCTATTACTTTACCAAGTTTGTTGAATCATTCGATTCATTATCAAAATGTCGTCTGGTATAACCTTATCGAGGCTTTCGCTCCTTTACAAATTAAACATTTAGTAAATCTAAATCAACAAAGAAGACATACATAATATTAAATATAGTAAAGTATAGGTATATTTTCTATAATTCATATTTAGATAATAATAAATGTTTGAAATGTGATTTAAACAATTCAAGACTTGAAGAACTTCTTATTTTTAAAGAAATAGTGTTCCATAACTCCATACATCGTCTTTCCATTGGCCGCGTGCAAGCGAGGTTTAACGACGTTGATGTTCACTCGTTCTGAAAGTCTCGTCCTTCTGCTGCAAAGCAAATTTTCATTTGCACATCCGTTAACAGTTTCGGTACCCATCTAGCGCACCTTTTGGTCATTGACATTTTTTTCAGTTATTATCTTGTGAATTGTTGTTTTACTGATGTCATGTCGCAATTTCTCGCAGAGACAAACGACGGTCGCCATCAAGCATTTCCTTAATCTCGTCACAAGAAACGTTGGGTCTTCCTCGACCTCTGATCATCTGCAGTAGACGCGCGACTCACTTTGTATGTTTTATACCATTCATACAAGACTGTACGCGACAATGTCTTTCTCCGAATGATTTCTCAAGCATTACTCTATTTTTTCCTCTGGTGATACATTATTACTGTGGAAGTACTGAAAAATGATAACTCGCTGTTTTTCGATGATATCTCAATCCATGGTTAGTAAGAGCATTTTGCCATTTAAACGTTGTTATAACGTCATTTAAATCTAAAATCATCCCAAAAATGACGTCAGATTGTTGATGAACGTCATTGTTCCCAGCAAATTTCGTGATGCTTTTCCGTCGTTACATTTTTATGAACCACAGTGTTTTGAAACAGATATAGACTTGGGCCGTATTTTACATACAGAAGTAGCTATAGACACCATATCTCGTGACCATCAAATAGCATGCAAACTGTATTTACAGACAAAATGTGTCTTACATGTAATTATAATACATATGAATTTTTAAATATAACTTTTTAAATAAAAAAGTTAGGACCGGCGTCCGGGAACTTTACGGACAAACCTTGTATACATGCAAACATACACAGAAACAACAGGTTTTCGAAATATCAACTGTAAAAGGGTTTGGCCCAGTTCGTCCCCCTTTTATGCTTTTATTTACACAAACGCAAAGAACTATACATGTATAATGCTGTTACTCGTCAATCCGATTTTGTTAAGCAATGCAGTATTTAGTTCACACGAAAACAGTAAAAAACACACAAGAACATTTCAAAATATGCAATTCTTCTGAATTGCTTTTTACAAGTCTTAAGTATTCTTCAATGTGATATTACAAGAAACAACACTAAAATGATGAGAACAGTGATCAGAACATTCAGAAATATAAATCCCTCAAGGTCATTAATTTTGAGAAACTAATAAATAAACTGGTTGTGTTTTCTATTTATAATTGTCATGTAAAGTACTCCCGAGAAACTACTTGTTACCAAATTATGTTTCCATAACGAATCACTGCTATCGCACGATCCAATGCAATTTACCGAAACTTGATCTGCAAGACCTACTTTAGCCAGAGCGTTCAATGTGTAGCATTTACCCCATTCTCTTTCTCCAAATCCACCTTGCGCGACAACCTGTCCTTGGACGATGATAGCAATATAAATATGAGTAGGTGAAGGCAAGCATATCTGAGTTGTAAACAAGTACAGACCAGGGGCTGGTGCCACAAAGATGCCAGTTTTATTGTTGTAACCACCACCTGTGTTGATAGGGCTATTTGTGAATACAAATACCTTGTTGTCCTTTACAGAAAAGTCAATTATCGTGTCTGATTTGAAGGCGACTAAGGGTTTAATGGCTGAAAAGAAAACAAAAGTTTTGCTGTAAAGGTTTATACCATAAATTATTATGTACGTATAAAATGTTTTATTGCTTCAACTATGTTCATATAACACCTCCAAAAAATTATCATTTTCACTAAAAAGAGATTATGAAATTTAATTGTCATTTAGTTTCAGCGTCGAAAAGTCAATTTAAAGTCAATGGTGCTGCAAACAATCACTACAGGCACTTCGCTTATTCTGTTGTATGCATGGCAATTATGTGAATATATGTTCTTTTTCAATAAACATAGATTTAAAGAAAATTCTGTGAACGAAATATTAAAAAACTTATTTTAGAAGAAATCTCTGTTTCTCCATGTTGTAAACCTCAAAATGATTATAAAATGAACAGGAATTCAAATGAAACGAAATTATTTCATAAGGATTCTACTCAGTTCATTTATTTCCAAAATAGATATACAAACACTGCCGATGTGTTACCTCTCTATATAAAAGTAATAAACAATATAGGATTTTTATTTAGAAAATGTGTACTTGATTTGCATATTTTTGTATCTCATTATCAACAACAATATTGAGGCAGGATTATACAAAATTTTTAATTTTATTAGAAATTTAGATTTTATTGACGAACAAAACATGTATACCGGAAACATAGACATACCTTTACATGGTTTTTGTTTGCATATTTCAACATCGGTGGAGTCACCAAAGCAATGAACGCCGGTTCTCTTCGGATACGGATTGGAACATGAACGGTTTCTCTTCTTCAGACCGGTGTCACATCTCACAGAACATTCTCCCCAATCCGACCAGTCAGACCAACCACCATTTACTTTGATTAAATAAACATAAATTATAAAATAACTATTTGATAATTTTATATTCACATATATCATACTTAATATAAATGCCTTTTTTTCCTAGTATTAGCTTTACAAAAAAGACAATTTGATAAGATAATTATCATACAAAGAATTAGAAAGAAAAAAAATGCTACTTTTATGTGTTTACTCTAAAAAAGGGCCTAAAAGCAACTTAATGTTCATTTTAATGGTTGAAAAAAATATATGTAGAGCTTAAAGTGACAGACGTTTATCCTAAATATTATATGAAAAGAAGAGCTATTCGTGATAAGTAATTACCAGGGCAGAGCATATTATTGCAGCGTTTTGTTTCAGTGTCATTTCCTACACACATCAGACCTTGATACGCGGGAGCAGGGTTAGTGCACGTGCGCTTTCTGATGTGTATGCCAACGTCACATGTGACGTCACACGCAGACCATTCAGACCAATCAGCCCAGTTTCCGTCAACTATATTAATTGTTTTGAGAAATACGGTACAATAAAATCAATAAATTTCAAATAATCAAATATGCTTTTGAAGTTGCAATTGCCAATTTAATATTTTCTCTGGGTTATTTATAGCATTAAAACCATAATATAAATAAACATGCAAATTGAAAATATATACAGTTATTCAACAAATATAAGGTTTGAAAAAATACAGAATAAAGTTATCTAAGTCTTTCAGTGCAAAATTCTACTTTCTTACCTAATGAGCACAGACGACAAAACTTAGGACACATTTTCTTTAACTGGTGTACTTTTCTACAAATGTTAAACGCCACATTCATATGAGCGCAGTCAACAGTGACGTCATCAATACACGTTGAGGCTAAAACATATAAATGTCTATAATTACCTTTACATTGCAAAATACATTTGTTTTAATGAAAACCTAAAACTACTTTAATATTAACTCTTGCTAAGGTATTTCATATTTTCAATTATCAATAATTATTAAATAAGGATAAAGATATTTAGTTTTGAGTGCGTTAACGTATTTTAGTCTAGAATTAAATACGGCGTAGTGATATGTACTCTGAATGATTAATTATAAAGCATTTGATCGATAAACCGTACAATATTGTATTACAACGCAAGAAAAATTGATATCTATTTCTATTCTAACATCTAATAGAAACAGAATTTATGTTTAATTATATATGTTGAACTATATAATGCGGAGTCGAAATTTTCATGACGCCAAGATACTTGTTCACGTTAAATCTGACGCCATACGGCGTACGATCATTTTTTTCTTATGTAATGTATATCGTGTAAGTATATACACTTCCCGGTATGTTCAAAGAAGGAAAGTGTGGAGCGTGTTATAATATAATATTTACATACATAGTGGATCTATATTTTATAGAAAACGTTAAATTATAGAAGTGTATCCTTAACCTACGTTTTCTATGCTGACATAACTGACTGTTACATTTGTCTCTACTACAACACTCGAAACATTGCTCCTCCACATCTCTTTTCACTTTTGTTACATTGTAAATTGGAATAGGGCCACAATTCTAAAGAATTCAAAGAAACCAAAACAGTTTTTCTAGTTATATATTTTACTTATATTCGTGTTTTGAAAAACAATGTGAGAATGTCGCATCTTAAAATCAAAGTATGCAAGTAAAGATTTTTGTTTTCAAATGAAGTATGTTTTATCTTAATTTTACCTCATTATTTGTGATTCCTAATGTAAACGTTCTTGTTCGCTCCTTGATGTCAACTTTAGCATAGCAGGACTGAAAAGTTGAATTGTAATCAAACATGCAAAATGTATAAGAAATTAAGCAAATTAAACAAAGATTATAATGAAAGACATTCTAAAATTGTAATTTTGAAAAGAATAAGGACATTTCGTTTAATTGAAAATAGACATAATGTGCGAAAAAAATATCTAACGTTATAAATCAAAATATTCTTAAAGCAATACTTGAATTTTATGAAATATCACTCCAAGAATTATTGTTTTACAAAACGTTGATACACTATTATAAATCATTTTTGATTTATCTGATTGTTTATTAAATGAACCTTAACGCAAACAAACCTGATCACTTTTACGTCCAGTTATGTTATGGCAATCATCAGGATCTACAACATTTTCACATGTGTAACAGTCAAACGCAACTGTTAAAATAGAGAATAACAATAGAATAAAAAAATATTGTAAGCAAAAGAAACGTACTTTTAATACATAAAATCAAAAATCGGCATCTTGAAAACAATTCAAAGTGAAACTGCACTTTGATTGTTTATTTTACAAATAGCGAAGAAAACTCTTTGAGTATGAAAAGTTAGTGCTTATTGAGACCAATATTTCCAGAACTTTAATACTGAGCTCGACAAAAAACATAACAACACAATTTTAAATTGATAAGAAAACTCAATTAAAACGATCTTTATTCATTACAGCAAAATTAACAACAAAACTTGAAATAATTTATCCTTCGTCCCAGAAATGATGACAGACATAACTATAGTTTATTTTTATTTTTTGTCAAAGCATCATAAATCATATTTCTACTAACCTGTTTCTTTAACTAATAAAACCAAAATAATCAGTGGTTTGTCTACAATTCAAAACATAATAAATTCATTAATTTATAATAAAAACTTAAATTATTTTACGAATCGTTATATAGCTATAATATGTAGAGTATGTGATGCTTGTATCCGATAAGCGCTATCATACTTGCATTAGATAAACATTGTTGTTTTAAAATTTTAACTTTATTTATTCATCTAGCAATATAGTTTAAAAATGTTAATCGTGTTTACGTGTTTATTTTGTTTTGATATCGCACAGTATTTACTCATCATTAATACATATCATGAAGCAAATCATATTCGGAAACAAAACGTAAAGTCTACTTATCTAAAATAATCAACTACATCATTTTAAAGGCGATGCTGTTTTTTTTTAAAAATTACTTACGTAGAAACATGTTTTCCTGTTCAATGATACAATGTCCTACTGAAAATAAAATGTGTGATTGTCAGGAATATCAAAGCAAGACTATGCTAGTGTATAATCTGTCAAAAAAATCTAATATTTCTGAATTGATTTTTTAGATGCCTTAGTTTTTCGGTGATGAACAAGTTATCAAGATTCCTTAATTTGCAACACAAAAAAAAACAAGAATTCATAAAAGTCAAAGTAATTTTAATACTTACGGAACGTTCATAACAAAATTACTTACAGTGTTATCACTGCCTCCATCAAGTCCCTGACATCTAAGCAACTTATGAAAAAAACTATAATATTTAACTCTCTTTCAAAAACATTTGCGGTCAAATATATTTTATTGTTAATTAGTGTGTTAATTAGTTTACTTCATACTATTTCAATGCTTTTTAATTGAAATATATCACTCTAATAACTTGTGACGTAAAACAAGGGAGAGCTTGACAGTCTTGTGCTTAGTTAAATACTTCATGTACTTCAGTCTATCAACCATAATACCCTTCGTCGTTTAATGTTTAATCGATGTTTTAGTATTTGAAATTCAAACAATTAAAACTAATTCATACAAATTTTAACAATAATCTGATATACAAATGTTGATGTATAAAAGGTATTTCACTTTATCATCTAGCCCTTAAGCACTTGAACAATAATATTCATTTATGAGGAATATATTTCTAAAGGCAAATTCACTAAGTTGATTGCCTATAATCTAATTACCTAGAAAGAATAATATCAGCATATTGATGCTGTTCAACGTCATTCTGAGTGTGATCGACATTTTTCAATAAAACGCTATAATGGTAAATAAAATGTACTGTAAAAGGAAATTTCACTCTAATCAGTAAACAATAAAATTTGGAGAATTGCACAGCACGCATACAACTTTTACCCTGTTGTTTTTATCATGTGTTAAATCAATTTGTTTTTCAGCTGAATTTTTAAAAGATATGTTATCACAGTATGTGTTCTTTTGTTGTATTTTGGTAAAGATAATATAGTGTCAAATACCAAGGGATAGCGATGGCAATTGATATCTGAATTAAGTTAAGATTTTTTGATAATTCTTTTCCCAAACTTAAAGATTAAATCACAATTTCTGCAAAACATGAAAACCGCTTTTGTGTGAACTAAAACAGACTGTGTTAGTTAAGGCATGATAAAATCATTGTATATAACTAAAAAAGCACTCCTTCAAAGTAACCAATATTAAATGGAGAAACATGCAATAAGATAGTAAACAGGCTTGAAAATAAGTTTATTATACGTTCACCAATATTAGATCTTTTTATTGCACGTAAATGGCTAAAATTAAATTTTAGTGTGAAATATCACATAGTAATTAGGGTAAATAAGTCTTTAAACAATTTGGCAATGAAGTTTTTAGTTTATCTCACAATGAATTACACAATTTACGCTCAAACGGATCTTGTTCTGAAAACTGTAAATCATACTTATTATTTCAAAGATTCTTTTTTTTCAGTTTTGATGCTTGGGAACAAATTACCTATTACTAGCAAACATGTTTGACATTACAATCTTTCAAAACAGCTGTAAAAATCATTTTCTACTTTTACTAAAAGATACATAACGGAAATTGACCACTTCATATTGTAAATGCTGTAAATGTTGATATAATCATTTTTTAATCATTGAGAGTTTATCTATAATTACTATGATATTAATATGAGTGTCAGTTGGATGAATGAAAATATCTAATAAAATTACAATGCATTTTTTTTTGTTAGTACAAAACGATTTTAAATTTCATATAGACCTACTAGTATTTTCTCTCTTTTTTGTATAATTGTTATACTTTTTCCTTGTTATTGTTAAATCAGAATATACATGTCGTCTTTTTGTGTTATCTTCTCTAAATGGAGATTTTATTATTAATTGTAATAGTAACGATTTTTATACGAATAAGCATAATGAAAATGGAAGATAATAAGTGTCTTTACTACATTTTCTAAGATTTTTCATATGTAGAATGAACATATTTTCAATTACTACAAACATAAATCTATATTGTTGTCCTGTGTGGTATATTATTATTATTATTATCATTATTATTATTATTATTATTATTATTATTATTATTGTTATTATTATTATTATAAAATAGAAACTTGTTTAAATTGAATTTGATTTCTTAATATACATTAGTATCTAATACTCGAATTGATGTTAATGTACTTAAGGGAAAGCAAGTAATTTGCAAGTCGATCTACTTTTTTTTCGAACTTAATTTATATTGCCATTTGAAAATTTAATCCAAATACAATATCTGTTGTGCATTTATGATTGTGGTGTCTTTCTGCGTCTAATTTAACCAAATATACTTCATAGTAAATAAGTGGCATTTGAGGCTCAATTCTATATTCTTGTGTTCCTGTTGAAAAAAAATGCTTTCTTCAACTGTTAACATTAACACTATGCATGTAAAATCTGGTCCGAACTATAATTCATTAGACATCTTATTTTTCAGAATCTTTCATTTGTTGTGTCAACGTTGAAATGACTTACTTTTTATAGGTCGTTTCTCCTGACAAGTAGTGCATTTGCTCAGAGAAGAGGTTATGGAGAATACACACAAAATTTAAAGTTATCAGAATCACACAAAACCTCAACAGATGCAATTGATACACTATTAAAAACAGGACCGATCAAACTAGGCTGCACCGGGTCGGGTTTAATTACGTACCGGGGTAATACCGTAGGCACCAAATGGTCACTATAAACTAGAACAATGCTATTATAATTTTATTTTAAACTTTGAAAGATATTTCTACTAATATACAATCTGTCATGATAAAAATCAAAAGTTAATTGTACGTTATACTATTTACTAAGTTGATATGCTTTGCCCATAACCAAAGATATTATAAATACATATTATACATATTAATGCGCTAAATACCCGTAATATTTTGTATGGATCAAAATGCTAGGTATAAAGGTACTGATTTGTTTACCACCAATGAAAACAAATTATTTGTATTGTCCTTTTCCAAGTTAAGTAAACGTGATGTTTGGTTATTTACAATAAACATCACGCTATGAATTTACGCAGTCGATTTGACCATCTGTTTTCAAGTAGATTTGTTATCACAGTATGTTGTGTTCTTTTGTTTAAGCTGGTAACTATAATTGTTAAATAATACCACAGTATAACGATGGCAACAAACATGCAATTTTAGCCAAGATGTATTTGATAACTTATCCCAAAGTGTCAGTACTCGATCACAATGTCTTCTTAACATGAAATCTGCTTTTATATTTTTTGAGACAGACTGCGTTTTTTTTGTCTTGTATCAATAAAGGCATCTTAAAGTAATAATATTTACCTTAAAAACATTCCATTCATATTATATATTTTTACCGACTTGACACTATGCAACACTATATATTCCCATTCATGTTTGGCATGTTTTACATGGTTTGAATGAATTGCGATAAGGAATGGCCTGCTCCAAATCGCTTCAAACTGCCTCTTTGAACAAAATTAATCTGTTGTTCATCAAAGTCTCATTTCCATAAACAACAAACATAGCAATTTAGATATAGAAAATATAGAAAATGAAGGGTGCTAAATAAGTCGCACTCCGTAAGTAGCGTTTCCTAATGAACTTTTAATAAGACACTGTTTCCATGATTGAAGACTGCAAGTCAACCAAGATTTTACTTTTATTTCTAAACAATATCATACACAAAAAAATCATATTTAAAACATCCTATAGTTTTGCAATAAGCAGATAAATTTACAATTATGTATATCATGATGTAAATAGAATGGCTAAAACAGTATTGCGTACTTATTTAGTGCAGTAGTACATGTTTTTGATATTCTTAAATTATTCACATATGACACTTCTACGGTGGCACAAAGGTGACATGTGTGTATATTTAATAATCTCCTGGCCACGAGATACTATGTCGTGGCCACGATTTACAAAATCGTGGCCACGAGATAGCTAAGTCGTGGCCACGATTTTCTACGTCGTGGCCACGAGTCACTAAGTCGTGGCCACGAGATAGCTAAGTCGTGGCCACGAGATAGCTAAGTCGTGGCCACGAGTTACTATGTCGTGGCCACTAGTTACTATGTCGTGGCCACGATTTATTAAGTCGTGGCCACGAGATAGCTAAGTCGTGGCTTCGAGATAAATAACCAATCAGATTACACCATATATATGAATTTCCCTAATTAACTAGACATGTGCTATAGTACAAGCATGTCCCTACTTCACCAGCCTGTAATAGTGTCATTTATACAACTTATTGATTGGTCAATAATTTTACATTTAGCGTCACTATTATATTATTGTTGCGTGCCTAAGTAACCCGTCTTTAGCTTTAATTGCAAACACTGCCTCAAGACGGAAAAAAAAGTTTTAGAACAATGATTTGATTTCAAATAGATACGATATAAGACAACATGTTTCAGAATATACAATAGAGAAGTTTACGTACGGAATTCCATAAACGACAGCCTACTGTTCACTGCCTACTGCTAACCGGACAGCCTGCTGCCCACTGTCTACTGCTAACTGCTTATTGACAGTCTAAGTCTACGTATGAATCAAAAGGAAGTATTCCGAATGTACACACATGTGCGCCCGCCATTTTGTTGAAAAAAAAATCTGCTGAGGTAAACTTTGCGGAAAGCAATGGTAAGTAAATTAAAAAAGATTATTTTATAGCCTAATAATTTGTAATTTCGAATTTATTGCAATGACTTGTGTAAGTCCCACCATTGCACACTGCTTTGATTATGTTATGAAATGGTTCCACACGTGCCTCTTACACAGGTGATTGATAAATTGTCAAATATAGGACTCATTTTAGGGTAAATCAACTTAATAATATATTGTTCACAAAGAATCTGTTTAACAATCAAGATGGACGGGCCTGAGCCCACTATTCTCGGTTGAGAGGCGGAGATCTGGACCATTATGTCAACATTCCCTTATTTTATTTAGAATTTCATAGTTTATTAAACTTTCATT